TGATAGGCAATGCAATGAGCCCCTGAAGTTGAGCAAGTCTCATTGAACACGTTAATACTTCTGTTGCGTAAGATGGCAACGCCGTATGCCCGTAGAAATAACTCAGCCTTCTGCAGTCTCAGCAGTACAGTTGAACTAGTTGAACTCGTCTCGTCCTGCAGTTGATTTCTGTCCAAACGGCACTGTCAGAGGCTTTCAAAAACGCTTGTTTCAAGCAATTTCAAATCGCCTGCAACGATAGCTGTCGTGTTGCGCTGAAGTAGAATCTCTTGTGGAGGTGGTATGTTGTGTTCGCAGCCCGTGAATTGTTGTCCTTGTTGCTACTGGTTGCGGCTGCAACTGTGGGGGCTGGAGAGGTGTAGTTAATTTTGCGGGCCAAATGGACTCCCTGAACTGGGACCCCCAGACCCCCTTTCCTGGCACGACCTCGATGCTGTTTGACCAACCGCCTTACGGAAGAGCAATGTAACAACTCTAGTATCGCCACCGCACTGCGCCCCCGAACGTAGGCATACAGGAAGGCATGGACCTCCAAAAAAGAATGGTGTAATCCTCCATTTCACAACTGTCGCAATCGCCTTGGTGCCGCTGACTGTAGCGCATGGGACGCAGGTCTTTTGGCTGCTTAATGGTCTTCCCAGCCCTTGGGCAAGAAGATCAACGACGTGGTGGTCCAGAAAGTGGGAAGAGAAGCGGACCTTGTTGCCAATGCTGTTTCACAAACCCCGCCAGATGTTCAGACATGTCTGCAACGCCTTCCACGGCCGCCGGTGCCTGTCTCCGGCGAAACCGCCTTCAAGCTTTCAGTTGACGAAGAGAGCCTGGTGGATTCTCTTCTGGCTAATGGAGATTCCCTTTTAAGAGTTCAGACTTGCTGCTTCACAGTTGGCCTTCCATAAATGGTGGTCCAGAAGGCCGCCAAGGCCTTGTCCTCCCACTTAGAGTTGTGATGCTGTTCTCATCTCTTAGCTGGACACGTTCCATGGGCTTTCGAAGAGTGGTGTTAAGACACCTTTGAGCTCGATCTGTGAAAGTTCCTGTCTAAGGACATGTTAACTTTGTTGTCCTGCATGCTGGCTCAGAGTTGTGTGTGTGTATTGTAGGAACTCCGTAGTTGTGCCTTGGAGGCTCGACGGGAGTGCTGCTTTAAGTGAGAAGCCTTTTGAAGTGCTTGAGTTGTAGGGATGTGTGTCTGGAAGCTGTAGAAGTGACTGTGCACGTTTTTGCTTGCTTTAGGTGTAGTTGGGTCGGTCCCGAGAACTCCCACTGACGTTTGAGTTTGTTTTGTGGCTGTGGAGAACACGTGGCAGACGAGCCGCAGAGACAAGTTGGATCGATACCAACTGATTTCATTTGGACGGACTTCCAACATGCGCAGCGTGCCACAAGCACTTTGATCTACCTTCTCTCTGGAGCCTGCAGAGCGGAGACTTTAAGAAGAATTGATGTTTAGGACTTCGAACTGCGAAAAGTTCTGACGGAAGCAGCATTTCTAGTCACGCGAATTGACCAGCACAGCTGGAACGCACACTATCACGCAACTACTTTTGCTCGACAACCAGGTTCTAAGCACTTCGTGGACCATTTTGTGCTCTGTGGATTCTGGACACCTGCAGGATCTGGATGTCCTGCAGCATAATTTGTCAAAAACTGGAAAGGTTGTGACCTCAGTTTTTCTCTCCTTTACTCGGGGTGATGGAGCTCACTCGAGGGTTTCTTGCAGAGGACTTGAAGCCAATTCCCTTTGGCCAATCAAACTACCGGACAGCGAAGTGGCGCTACAGCATGAGCTCAGCGAACAGCCGCACACAGCGGAGGCAGACAAGGGGCTGGTGTGGCTACACTATGCTGCCGTCTGCGCAGTGTGAGTCCGGGCGTCCTCACGTTGCTGTGGCCAGAAGTGCGAGCAAGTTTCCGGCGCCCACTTTTTGTTTTAATGGGCGTTCAAGCAGCTTCTCTACGTTGGCTAGAGCTGGTATGCTAAGCCTGCGGTGGCCTGCACACTGGAAAAGGGCCTTGCAACGTGGTGCGACTTCGTGCACAGCCTGGACGCCACGGCTGTGGACAGAAGTTCTGGCTTGGAGGAGAGAAGCACGATGCGAAGCTGTCGGTAATGCCACGGACTCTGGACACGCAACATAAACCTTGTTATGCGCACCAGCAACTACAGTTCGATGGCTCCGCGTGCCAGTACCGGAAGGTTTTTGCGCGGGTGGAATGCACTAAGATCACAGGTTGTTGTCCAACCGGAGCTGCCGGCTGTGCACGACTTCGTAATGGCCTCGAAGTGTGTCGCTATCACTTTTTGGGCAGGTCGACGGTTTTGACGGCCGTCAGAAACCTCGACGGCACGGTTGCGCCCGGATTCTAGTTTTAGGGCCTTGTGGAGGGTCTGGTCCGCAGAGTTCTGGCCGCAATCGAGCTTGCTTGCCATGGCAGCGATTGCTGTGCAGGGCGGGCCAAGGGCTAACATCAATCTTCTTTGGCTGAGAAGGGGCAAGCTTTCAAGTGCAAGCACATTCACCTAATCGAGACCGGCTGGTACCAAACGTGCAGTCCGGAGTATAAGAAGATTAACTCCAACGCCACCGTGCCGCTGGATGGTCATCCTGTTATGAATCCATCGACCAGATTCGTTACATTAACTCAACCTTTCCAGAACAAACGTTGAAAAACCAGTAGGTAGACATGTCTTTCTTGAAAGGCCTGTCTCCGGAGAACATGGCGCAGAGCATGGGAAGTTGCATCTCAGGATTGACGTTCCCGCTGTTGGATATCCCGTATTGCGAGATCGCCTTCTTCTATGGTGCAGATGAGAGAGCAGTGCAAGCATCACATACAAAAGCACTTTAAGGGCATGGAGAAGGCCTTGGCGGATGGAAGGGAGTTCCTGACTGGTAACACGCTGACCTTGGCTGACGTTGGCATGGTCACCATCTTTGAAACGGATGGAGGTGGCTGGATGGCAGAAGATCTGGAAGAACTTGAAGAACGTGGCAACCTACTGGTCTCGATTGAAGGCGAGGCCCTCGTACCAGGCTGCCATTTGCAACTTCGAGCTGGACATCATCACGAAGGGGCGGGCGCGCATTGAAGAATGGAATCAAGCTCGGCCCGGACTCATGTCCAAGATTTACGGCCCCTACCTCTAAGAGGCTGCTTGAGTGGCTCTGTGGGACTCTAGGGTGCTGTCTGAATTTCTACCAGCCTTGGTTCGAACATCATCCCCAAAATCGGCGCATGGTGGTGGGCGAGCAAGGGCATTGATTTGAATGCAACTCAAGGCGAGCCACAAGGGCCCGAAAACAAGCTGCTTTCTTAGTCCATTTTCATGTCCATTGGGCAGCTGGCTATACACTTGTCACATTGAGGGCCCTGATATCTGATATATGGTGGTGGGTTGTATCTTTGTCTTGGCTCAAAACCAGCTGCTATAAGCAACACGTCCTGGGCATGCATGGTATTTATCAGGCATTATTTCAGCACAGGTATCATTTAGATAAACCGTCCATGTAGGTCTGTAGATCGCTGGGTAAGATGACCACCCCCCAGTGTCCACGAGGAAATTGATCATGCTGGGGACACATCCAAACGCAATTTCCCAAGAAAAGCAAGCTTCCGTTTATGCGTGTGTTTGTCTGGAACAACGTGGTTAGCGGCGACAGCGCAAACACAATCTTCCAGATTTTGGGCGAGCGAGTTTCGCTGGACCACAAAGGAGAAAGGGCAGATATGTGATGTAGAGAAAAATGTAGGTTCGTGATTCGCGGTCAGAGAACAAACATCTCTGACTTGTTTCGAGATGACATCGTCTCAGTTTAGGTGTTTTGGTCAACAGCAGTAAGGATGATTGAAACCCCACCTTGGACATCTGATATGGTCAAGGTTTTGTTGGTTCCACTCAGCCATCACTCCCAAGAATGTCGGCAACTTCTCGTTTGTTTCGGTCTGAAATTTTCCTTCAAGCAAATCTGAGAATTTATGGGGTTTAGAGAGTCTATCGAGATTTTGAAGCTCCAAAATGTGTCAGCAGCAAGGCTGTTTCTTCTTGGAACCTCCTGAGAGAAGGAACATTCTCTTGACTGGATCATCCACATGGCATGTTGGGTCCACATCACCCTAAGCCTTAAACCGGCCAAAGCCCTAAACCTTAAGCCCTAAACCCCAAACCCGAAACCCTAAACCCTAAACCTGAAATCATGCAAATGGCCACCGGGGAGCTTAAGAGGCCCTAGAAAACAATGAGCAGTGAGAGCGCCACTCACTCCGGGATACCCGAAGAGCCCAATATCCCTGAATGAAGGAACATACCTTCATTTGTATAGGGATCCTTATTCTGATTTACGGTGCATTCCTAAATTAAGGGGTATCGGGCTCTTTGGATAGAGATGACAACGCTAAGTAATGTCTGCTAACTATAATCCGTATAGACCCACACCTTGCCAAGCGTACACCACGAAGGATTTTCTCTGCCTGCCGGGGGCCCTTCTGCTCCCAGAAGGTGCGCACTAGACATCGGAAGGATAAATGGGTAAATAAGACCCTAGACCGCAAACCCTCAACCCTAAACCTTGAACCCTGAACCCTGAACCCTAAATCCTAAACGGCCCTAAACCTAAACCCTAAACCCTACCTTAAACCCGCATGTTGTTGCTTTCGTTTCGCCTGCACCGGGAGTGAATCCGCAGGCGTATTGAAAGCTTGAGAAAATGCGCTACCGTAGAAACTGCTTTGCAATTTACAAGACGATTCAGTTGTGCGCGACAGGACACGGACACAAAGTGCAGCCTTCATTTCGGATGTTTTCAGCAACATGTCATGTGGGATATTTTGTTGCCAACTTCGCATATCGAATCCAGCCTTGTGCGCCTGGCCTGTGAGTGAAAAGCATTGCATACTGCACGAAGTATACAGCTTTATCAAGTGTCGACCCCAATGCGCAGGCTTCTGATCGGCTTAGAATCTCGGGTTATGGATTTGAACTAGGTCTGCATCCGAGCATGTGGCCACTCTGGAACATCTTCCGCCCGCACTGCAGCGTTGCCTCCATGGCGCTGGTCCTGGTGCTGCTTGGCACATGCTGTCATCCGGCGACCGCTGCGACAGGCAGCAGCGGCATCGTTGAGGCCGCCAGCGCTGTAAACACCGCGCGCATCTCCAACTCCCACTGGGACATCACCGTCGCCCTGAACGACCCAGCATATGGCGGCATCACGTATCTCCTCGAGCTCCGCTACTTCCAGCCTGCCTTCCAAGAGTGGACGGTGAACCTGGCCTTCGCCTTCAAGCACTTGGGCACGCAAGGGGCGTCCAACGCCCGACTCAGCACCACGTCGATCTCGCTCGGGGATGACCACACATGGCTCCCCGCGACCGGCGGCGCTGTAAACAGCAGCAACGCCACGTCGCTGGTCATCTCCAAGATCCGGTTGGGAGACGTGGCCGAGGAGGAGTGGCTGCTGACGCTGGGGGGTGCAGGAGGGCACACGTCCGGGCTGCAGTGGGACGTGCAGCGGACGTACCTGAAGGAAGTGAGGAACCTCACCGCGTCAAGGTACCAGACGTTCTCAACGGCCGCCCAGTACACAACCACCGGAGAGCACGGCGCAGCGCAGCAGGCTCAAGTCCCATCCACTGTGGACCCCTCCTTCGTGTGGAACACCACTGGCCTGGGCTTCAATGTGCAGCTGGGCAACGTGGTGCCGAACGGGGATGCTGGGTTCTGGACCTACAGCTACACTCCCCTCCCGGAATCCAACATCCTGATGTCCCCATCCAGCGTGGTTTGGAACTCATCCTTCACTGCCTCCTCCTCCTCGACCAGTCTCGCGTTCCAGTGGCCATGGTATCCGGGAACCGGTGCCGGCGACACGTCCATCGCCATCGGCCTCATCGCGAACCCCGCGTTGCAGCCGCATCGCGCAGGGGGCGAAAGAGAGAGCGTTTCCTGGACCCTCGTGTTGGCGGACACCGCTGTAGCCGAAGGCCGGAGCCCAGTGCACCTCAACACCAACGACGAAGCGTACGACCGCCTGGCCAGGTCTCTTGGCACGACCTTCAACATGTGGACGGGGAACTTCCTGTCCAACTCGCCTTCCTCGTGCACCTGCATCTTCGAGCTCGGGCTGTTCCCACAGATGGCGTCTGTTTTCGCCCCGCCGATGGTGTCCCCTGCAGACCCGCGTTCGCAGGGTAACAGCACCCGGCCCTTGCTTCACCAAGCACTGCGACACATGCTCTCTGTCTTCGCCAACACTGCCGTGTGGCCGGACGGTTACGTGTACCCAATATGGCAGCAGTACCGATATCTCAGCGGCAGCTATGTCACGGACAAACACCAGCACGATCAGGTTCTCCATTTTCTCCTCGGGTACTACCACTACGCCGTGCTGACGGGTGACAAAGACTTCATCATCCAGGTGTGGCCAACGCTAATGAAGGTGATGGACTACGTGCTTTACACCATGCAGCTGTCAACGGGCCTCGCTACCACCCCCGGGGTCAGCGGGAACGCGAACACGAACAACGCTGACAACTGGTTCGACGTCATCGACTTCGGTGGGAAAGATGCAATCATCAACGGGCTCGCGGTGCAAGCCCTCAAGGGTTATGCGGACCTTGCCCGCTGGTTGGGTCATCCCGCCCTGTCGGAGCGCTTCCGCCGGCTGCACCAGCAAAGCGTCGCGGCGTTCAACCACGCGTTCTGGAACGAAGAGGAGAGCCTTTTCAGCGATTGGGTCGATGAAGAAGGCAAGAAGCACGACTTCTTCTACATGTACACACAGTCTCTGGCCATCGAGCCCCTCGGAAACATCACCACCAAGGCACAGCGGCAGGCGATGCTCCGCGCCTTTGATCGGAACTACCGCCGCATCTACGCGCAGACCAACACAAGCAGCAATGAGCTTTGGTGCACGCCGACAAACTTCGTAAGCACAGGACCCTTGTACAGCTTCAAGAACGGAACCCTTCAGAACCAGAAAGTCTTCGGAAACTACGAGAACGGCGCTTGCTTCATGTTGTTCGGCGCCATGGAGCTCGCGGCGCGCGGGTATGGCGGCGACGGCGCTGGGAGCCTCAAGCGGTTCCGCGCGATCCTGGACAAGTACAACAGCACCCGGCTTTGGGGGCAACACTACAACTGGCTGAAGCCCACCGGCCGCGCATTCGTGGGGGCTGACGTGCTGACAAACACAGAAACTTTGCTGAAGAACTCATTCACAGCCCGAAGCCCTAAGTATCCCTGAACCCTAAACATCCCCAAGCCGTAAGCTTGTAAGGACCTTGGAGTGATTTCTTGCCCCGTAGGGTTTAGGGTTTAGGGTTTAGGGTTTCGGGTTTAGGGTTTAGGGTTTAGGAAAGCACCAGTGCCAGTGAGGTGATGAGCCTCCGTGGCTTCATCCATGGAGCTTTTGGCTTCCTTCCCACCTTGCTGGATGGGGTGCAGGTGAGAGGGAGCCTCCAGAGACCCCTTTTTTAAAGGAACATTCCCAAGGGTTGTTTGGGTTTAGGGATGGTTTAGGGTTTAGGGTTTAGGGGTTAGGGTTTAGGGTTCAGGGTTGGGCTTTTCGGGTTGGGGTTAATATTCCTTGCTAACCATACTCAGGGAGCCCTAGTACAGCTGAGACGGAGCCTTTCCTCATTTCAAGGGATCTACTGGAGCCCCTAGAGGTGGTCGCCGAAGCTGCTCCGAGGGAGTTGGAGGGCGCCTCTCACGACTTCTACCACCTGGGATCCCTGAAGCGCGTGACCATCGTCAACGGCAAGGCAGTGGTCAGTAGTCAAGTTGGCTACGTAGTCTGATGAGGAGGGGTATGTTGGGGTGGTGGCTTCTTGCAGTCATGTAGAGGTTGTAGGGATTGAATGACGATGAGTAGTGGTACTTGCTTTGGGCTCCTGTAGTAGGTGAAGCCGGCAGGCGTGGCGATGCGAGGAAGCAAAGAGATCTCTGGTTTTATGGTTTAGGGCTTCGGTTTACTTCGTAAAGAGTCAGAAGTACCACACTCCAGCCTTGCTAGGGTTTAGGGTTAGGGTTTAGGGTTTAGTGCAAAAAGTTTTAGGGTTTAGGGTGTAGGGTTTAGGGTTCACAGAAGCATGTCTAGCCGAAGGCCGATGCCCTTAAACCTCCCTAAGCGGCCTTAAAGCTCCCTAAGCCTCCCTGAACCACCCTAAACCTCCGTAAACCCTGAAATCCTAAATCCTAAACTCTAAACCCTAACTTCAACTCCAAACCTTCAGCTTTGGCCCGAAAACCTAAACCGCGCTTGACGGTTCATGATGCTAGCTAGTTGTGTTTGGGTTAATAATGTATAAGCCAAGACATAGTTGTGCGAACCTAAATAAGGCCAGCATTATGATTTGTAGCCTTCGCAGTTGGTAAATCCAAGAAGGCCATATACCCTAGCCCCTAAACCCTGAACACAAACCCATCAGCCGAAGTCATCAAGTGGCTGTTTCGGATTGCAAAGGGAGCTTTCCACGACACCTTTCTTCAGAGCCTGCATCTCTCGAAGCTTTCAGTGCAGAGCGAAGGGCATGGGATAAACCTACCTGGAGACTATAAGATCCTTGAATTTGTTGCAGGTTTGGGCATTTAGGGTTCAGGGTTTCGGGCTTAGGGACCCGAAGCCCCAAACCCTAAACCCTAAACCCTAAACCCTAAGCCCTAAACCCTAAACCCTAAATCCTAAACCCTAAACCCTAAACCCTGCAATCGGTTTAGGTGTTTTGGAGACCTTGCGCCCCCCCCCCCCCCCCGCCATGCCGCCCGCAGAGCGAGGGGCGCAAGAACCTGTGGCCAAGCTTTGGCTGATGGTAGGCCGGTTTAAGGGTTTAGGGTTTAGGGTTCAGGGTTTGGGGTTAAAGGTTCAGGGTTTAGGGTTTCGGGTTTAGGGGTGTAGGGTTGAAGTCGTCTTCTTTTTTTGGGGGGCTGACATCTTCTTTTGCTCGACAATGGAACTCTTCGTTTCAATCCCTTGCCCAACCCAAAATCCTAAACCTATAGAAACCGTAACCCCTCGACCCCATAAGCCCGAAACGCTAAACCGAAACCTTGAGCCCCTAAACCCTAGACCCGAAGCCCTAAGCCCTATCAAAGTAGTGGCATGAAGCCCTCAAGCCTAGACCCTAGACCCTAAGCTTTTCGAACCCCAAACCCCTACACCCGCCACACGCAACCCGAAACCCTAAACCCTCAACCCTAAACCCTCAACCCCAAACCCCAAACCCTAAACCCCAAACCCGAAACCCCAAACCCCAAACCCCAAACCCCAAACTTGACCCTAAAGGCAGCCCTCGCGGCCGCCTTCGTGCTGCCCTGCTTCGTGCTGCCCCGTCGGCAGCCGCTTCTCGGTGCCAAGAGGTAGTTTCAGGGCGTTAGGGTTTAGGATGTTTAGGGTTTAGGGTTTAGGGTTTAGGGTTTAGGATTTAGGGTTTAGGGTTTAGGGTCATGATTTAGGGGTTTAGGGGCAGCTTTTTGGGGGTACGGAGGTTTTAGGGTTTCAGGCTTCTGTTTGTTTGTTTCTTGTAGTCAGGTTTAAGGACTTTAGGTTGCATAGGGTTGGGAGAGATGAAGGTTGACCCTGGCAGTCCACGCTAGCTTTTACCACAGGCCCCGACCTGGTCTAGGGTTGCTTGGCTTTCGGTTTCTAAGGTTTTTTTAAACAGTTTTGGGGGTGGGGGTTTTGAGGGCTTTAAGGGTCTTTAGGGCTTTTTTTGGGGCTGTCTTGGCTTTTGAGGGTCTTAAGGGCTTTACGGGTTTTTAAGGCTCTCAGGGTTTTAAGGGTGTTAAGAGTGCTACACCCTACACCCTAAACCCTAAACCTTAAACCGTAAACCCTAAACCCTAAACCCTAAGCCCTAAGCCCTAAGCCCAAACAGGGCCCCGTGACGCAAGGCCGAATGCTCCCTGCAGCTGACGGTGCTGTCGATCGACGGCTACCTCCGCCCCGCAGAGGCGGCGCCCGCGCTTTTTAGGGTTTAGGGTTTAGCGTTTAGGGTT